GAGACTTGTAAATACATAAATAGGTAAATGTGTATATATTTTAATAATATTTTCTTCGGCTAAACGTAGCCGTCGCCATTTTCCTTTAACCGCAAGCGGGGAATGGAGCCCCGCGACCTCCTGGAAGAAATTCGCGGCTTTCTACGTTTTAAGGTAGCAATGGCGCCCCTACACTTAACCATCCGCTTGAAATCCGGCAGGGAATTCTTTGCACCGCTCCTATGGCCAGAACTCGCGTTCGTGACTCGTGAGCACTTCAGCTTTTTTTATTGTTTTACATGATTCTTCTTTTGGGAACAGGTGCTCAGTTTTTGTTACATTGTGCATGTCGGCATCTTGCTAGGTTAAATTTTCTCTCATACGAGGCAGAAATGAGATTGAGCCATACTTTGAGAGAACGAGCGGAGAAATCAGACCAACTGAGAATTGATATAGAATTGTATTGTAAGATGTATTCTACTGGGGACCTTTGTACAGTGTATGTATATATATAGGTTTAAGTATATGAATTGGAGGATTCTAGAGCAGAATAGGCAGTGGCGAGCAATGTGGGAAGTTGTGGTCTAGAAAGGTTGTTACAAATGGAGGTGGCCACCTCTGGCATGGACCGTAGGTTGTTACATCCCCTCAAGTGAACTAGCTTGCGCAACGATTGGGATCTTGTCCCGTAATTGGAAACTGAGTTGCTGGGAGTCACTTGGAGAAGATATATGTGGTTTGGTCCTATGAGGTAATGTGATTAACAATAATTTCATTTGATGAGATATGTCATGAACAAGGTGGTGAGCCATTTCAATGTGTTTGGTCCCGGCGTGGAATATTTGGTTAACTGCAATGGCGATTGCTGAAGTATAGTCACAGTGGATGATGGTTGGCGCAGTGTTAGGGATACCAAATTCCTGTCTGAGTTGCCTTAACCAGAGAACACCAGTGGTTGCCACTGCTATAAACCAATATTCAGCCTTTGTAGATGACCTAGCCACTAATTTTTCTTCTGAACAGTAGAAAAAAACAAGATTTTTACCAAAAAAGTTGCAGTGGCCGCGTGGAGTGTCTGTCTTCCTGGTTTTTGATCCAATCTAAATCTGAATAGGCGTGGATGTGTAGATTGCCTGGGGTAAGCTGAATTCCATGAGTTAGTTAAGGTAGCTTTTAAGTAGCGGAGAAGACAATTGATGAGTTGGTAGTGGTATATAAATGGGTTGTGCATGTGTTGGTAGATGTAATTTACAACAAAGACAATATCAGGCCTTGTGATGGTAAGAAATCGAAGCGTACCAGCTAGTTGTCTTTGGTAAGTGGGGTTTGGACAGGCTTGTTGAGTGCAGAGGTCAGGCTTAATTTACAACAAGCCTTTATATCACCAAGTGAGGTCGGCTACATAATTCTTTTTCTCCTTATTTACTTTGAGTGTCTTATTTAATGATCACCAAAGAACACTAAGTAATATTTATATCATTGCAAAGAGATAATAGGGGCAGGTCCCCATACATCAGGAATGGATTATAGTAAAGGATGCTAAAGACCTAGAGGCTGACTTAGGGAAATGCTGTTTGTGACCTTGGCTTATTTACATTCATTATAAAAAAATAGGATATTAAGGGGCTTTTGTAGCTTGAAGATAGCAGTTGCAGCTTCTTTGTAAGGATATCTGAGTCATCGCTGTCATAGATGAGTGATGATGTTGTCATATGAAGAGCAGAGAGGGCTAAGACAGGGTATAAACCATCTCGACTAGGTCTCTAGAGGATCATGTGGTTTGTATTCTGATAAAAAAATGGCAAAGTTAGATTTAATGAATGAGATTTTGCAGTTGTTTTCTACAGTCAACTTGTGAATTTAGAAAAGATTGTGAGATAAGTGGGGAGAATGGAGGAGATTAATAAGGATCAGCTTACGATGTGGCGTGGGTGGTCTTTGTATTGAGTTGGTTGGTGCAGCTGTTCGTCGTTGGAAGTCAGGTGAGATGTAGCACCATTGCCTAAGATCCATTTAGTTGATTTAGGATTTGATGTAGCAATGAGAGTTGTATCAGGTTTGTTGGAAGATATGACTCAAAATTTGTTTGGTGCTAGCATATGAGAGTTGTGTGACCATATTTTTTGCAGATTTGACATGTGGCGGGAAAGTTGGAATGACGTCCCTTAGTGTTGTGAGATGAAGTTCACCTCTGTGAGAAGGTTTGGTGTCTGATCTTTCACTGCCTTTGGAAAAGTTACATCCGCCTCTTGAGGTAGTATCGAGGCATATGGTAGCAGCAGTGTTGTCCTTTGTTGTTTTAGCTATGATATGAACTTACTCATTGCAGAGTAGTTCATATAAATCATCGAATTTAGGGCTCGTTTGGGGCAGCTTATAAGTGCGGCGGCGTTTTCAAAACGCCACCTCACTGTTTGTTTCTCGTGTTTTATGTGAGTTTTTAAAACAACGTTTTCTATTTTCTGTTAGACGCAGACCGCGGGTATACCCATGCGATCCGCATTCGCCCTCTAGCTTTTACTCCCTTACCCTCGCTAAACCTGATCATAGCCGATCCTGCCTCCGTCGCCTCCGTCGCTACCCAAATTTGCTCTGCAGGGAAGAAAATTCCTCTCCTCCCCCGTCTTCCCCATTTGGCCGTAGACCTAGGCATGCCGAAAGCGGAGCCGAAGCACGAGGAAGAGATCGCAGGGATCTCTGGTGCAGGGAGGCTCTAGCTGGAGGGGAGTCTCTCCGACGGTGGGGAGTTTTAAGGCGAGATCGGATGTGTCCTCTTCTTTTTTCATATATTGTCGTTTTTTGTTATACAATTTTTGTGATTATTTGAAGCTAATCAAGTCATGAGAAAACTGCAACGATCTGATGGTTTTATCCTTTCGTGATGTTTATTGAATTTAAGTACATGATGATCTCTTATAGTGAGTCATCTCCTCCTGCGTGCTTTCATGTTTTTCAGTTTGTAATATAGGTTTTGCAATTCTTTTTGTGCTTTTGAATTCATGAATTGCATGAGAAAAAAGTAATAATTTTGGACTGGAATTTATGAATTTTAACTCTCATTGAAATAAAAAAACAAACAATGTTATTTCAATTAAAACAACCAGCTTGGGTTTTGATCTATGAGGGTGTTACTTGATCCTTGTGAGCACTCATTTATTGTAAAACATGTGATGTAAAGATCCACTATGATTTAGGACTTGACATTTATGAAGGATGTACCTTTGTGCATGCTTTTCACTGGTGATATATTTGTAATGGACAGAACTGAATATATGGTATCTCATTTTACTAGTTATCGATCTAGTGGCGGGATTGTAACAATGGTTGATCAAGGCATTATGTTTATAGGGAAGAGAAGCATAAAATCAAGTGTTGTTGAAATGATAATTTTTGTAGCATGAATGACCTCTTAAAATGTATAATTTTTGTAATTTTGATAAAGTTGAAGTTTGTTTTTGTTTCGTTTTTGTAGAGTTGTTGAATGATCTGTGTGTATTGATGCCAAAGGATGAATATGGCATGAACTGCATGCTCTGTTTAAATACTTGAGTAAGCTTATTAGTTCATGTAAGGAGCAGGATAATTTCATACTGTTATGAAACTTGTGTATCAACTGAAAGTAATGGACAATTATCAGTAAGAAGTAATGGACAGCTATCAGTTGATGTAATCACCTCCATATTAGTATGTGAAGGTATATTTTACTTTTGTATATGTAACTCTGCTTCTTTGATGTGATCAGAAATATTTGAGTTATATAAATGTAACTCAATTCTTTTGTTTTTTCATGTCTTAACATTTGAACTTTAATTTTGGATAACAAATAATTTCCACAGACATATTAATATGAGGTGTATTTTACTTTTGTATTAGTATATGATGTAATCACCTCCATATTAGTATGTGAATATATATTTTACTTTTGTATATGTAACTGTGTCTCTTTGATGTGATCAGAAATATTTGAGTTATATAAATGTAACTCAATT